GCAGAGAGTAAAAACGGGAGTCGCTGCAAAAACGCCGCGGCGTTCAATGTGTTAAACCTGCACGTCTTGGGGATTTATCGTGTCGCTTGACTTTAACAGTAATGTTGATATTTGACATTTGACATTTATTATCGACTGCTAAAGAAGAACAATGGGAAAAACGCGACCATTACAAAGGCAGAATATGCGATAAATAGTGAATAGAAAGAAGTGGTCAACTGCGAACACACTAAAGGAAACTCGTTGGTTAATATAAATTTGATTTTGGTGGAGAAGCATTCGGCTACAAGCTCAGCGAAAACACTGGTACAATGCAGCCGTCATCCGGGCACTTGATTAGACGGCCAAGGGTAGCGACGCGGCTGCGGCGCGTCACGAGGCTGTTTCAGCTGTTTCCAGCCTATTTTAGCCATTTTCTCCCTAATTTACACTGTTTTGGCTGCTTTTCTCGAGATTAGTTGTTCCTTGTCTTCACAAGGTAAATTATGATTGAGATTCCTCTGATTTTTGCGTACAATTAAACAGTTAAGCAGACAATTGAACAAATACCTGAAAAAAACGCAAAAACACTATAGCAAGAACAAAAAATAAGACCCCACTCCTAATGTACTTCATAAAGACAATAAAACAACTTACCTTGGAAAAAATAGAAAATACAGTGAAAATTAGGGAGAAAATGGCCAAATTAGGCCGGAAACAGCTGATCGCCGCGGTCGTGACGCGCCGCAGCCGCGACCCTTGGCCACCTAATCAAGTGCTTTATGACGACGGTAAATCCTGATAATATGATTGACAGAAGGAGGTCGTCTCATAGTTGCATCACTTGATGTCTGCACTGATGTATGAGAGTTTCATCAGTAATGTGACGCTTTCAGTGGCAGAGTTCGCCGCCGATGACTTCAAGGTGAGTACCTCCTGTGGCGTATATTGAAAGCATTTATTCGCGGGTTTTCTAATTTCTCCTACAATTTCAGCACACTTGTTGATCCGATTTTTATTTTTCTTTCAAAGTTCAATTTAACTTATGGTTAGTTTAATCATTGATATGGTCGCCACCATGACAATGTTACGGAGCGTTTTGCTAGATAGCAAACCTCCCTTCCACGGTGGTTCAGGTCGCCATTCAAAGAAGTCGGAAACAGCTCTGAAGATTCATGGCCTCTGATTTTTTTTCTCCACAGAAGAAAAAAAGTGATGGGCTGATTAACAAGCAATCTCATGGGATAAATGGGATATCCTACTCCAGTCTGTTCCACAACGGTTGCCTCGCCGCTGAGAATTCAGGCGCTACTCCGGAAAAGGGTGACACTGTGTCGTTTAAAGCAGTTGCCACGATAAATCGCTATAAGATGTAGGACGACTGGCTTAACAGAATTCCGTGACCTCGGACAGGCGCTCCGTGGCGCCTTTTCCAAGGAGGGTACCCCTATAACGCCCTATCGAGCAACAACATTCCGTCCCAAACGCCTTCCTCGCCCGCCCGCCCACAAACGGACGACCGTTTCTGACGCTCGTATTCATTCATTTGCTGAGCAAATTATGAAGCAAAGGGATTGGTATGAAGCGGCCGTGATGCTGCATGCATATATGGGTACACATATGCAGCCGTATCTTCGGTAGCGGTGATTGGCAAGATGCGTACGGGAAACTCGTCCGAAATCGATTTACAAGTCACTGAGAACGGAGGCTTTTTCTTCGCCGGATTTTGACCGTTTCACTCCGTTCTTTCGCCATTTCCCACTACATAGCGCCCTACTAGCATTTTAGGCCGAGTGGGAAACCATCGTGCCAACTGCCTTTAAGACGCTTCTTTCCCATGAGCGGCACTCAGTGCTGTTATGCGCAGCATTGCAATCCTTATTCCCGTGAAGATGTAGGCGTGGCAATCAAACGAACGGTCCGCGATGAGCCATGAAAATGCAAAAGACTGATTGAGAAGGATCATTCCAGTGGAAGAGTCAAGGCACAAAGTTGCTCCACTGGCACCTCCCTTTTTCCAGTGACTTTGCCTCCACATCTGCCTTCACAGTCCGCCTGTTAGCCAGGAGCGATACTATCGGACATGTAGCACGAAATGAACGCTTTAACGCTTTTCTTCTCTCTCTCATGGGGTCTTGGGGTTCATTGCAAGAAATCAGCGGGCTGGGGTCACGAAGCACTTGACAACTTCTTATCCATATTTCAACACCACTACCTACGATCCTTATCGCTTACCGTGCCTTCAACATGACAGATGGGTTACTCGTGGGATATTTCGGTTTCAGACAAGTGTCACCTTGTTCACTGTTGGAGAGACCCACGGACAAACACACCTTTGAAGAGAGATATTCTCATTTTGACACAATCGAGCACTGAATTATTTGAGTAATTCCAATTTCACAGTAATCCCAATGGTTTCTACTCATTTTTCTTCTCGTATTTCACCATTTCCTGAGTTTTTCAAACTTTGCATGATACTTTACCTATTTCAGAGTTTCGAGTATGCTGTGGAAGTGCTTCGTAGCGTACAGAGCTGTGATTTTCTACCAGTTGTCATAATAGAAAACAAAATAGATCTCATCGATGAGTACGATTTCTCCAATAAGGACGTCATTGAGAATTCCATTAAACAATCAAGGATACGACTATACAGGTGAGAGTCTCACTATCAAGCATCAAACAATTACTCACTTTGAAGCCGCTTTTTATTAGGTTGTTCGAAAAGTCCTGCGACACTTTGGACCAAATTTTTCGCACTAAATTTTCTGTCACCCAAAGACATCTCCAATCCACAAGGTAACCATAGTTGATGACTAGGACTAGTGCCCTTCTTTTGCACAGCTTCTCATTTCCATTCTCATAGAACTACGGCAACTGTGATAAAAAGAAGAGGTGGACCTCATTCTCGAGTTGAGGTCGATTTTCGGGCTTTTTGCTCTTCAAAGGATGCAATAGGGACCAAAAGAGGTGATAATTAGAGGCCGCTAACTTTGCTGAATAACCTGGGTACGGTCGCATTCTCTGATCAAAATTCATGATTTTTTGACGTGGCCTGATTCCCACATGCGGTCATTCGGTATGACTTGTCAGACGGGTCCAACTCATGAGGCATCCTTCACATAGAATTTTTCCGATAACGAGATTGCGGAGAAGCACGGAAGTTGTCAGGCAGGTGGAGCCTAGAGAGGTTGCCAACTTACTGGTGGTTACCTTCGGCTGCGGCTCAAGAAGCTTGAGTAAAGGGTCGTCATTCTGTGCTGGTGGGCGACCTACACATTGCCTAACTACGAGTTAAATAAGTCAGCCGGAGGCTGATTCGCAAACAGCTACCCTCTGCCATGGCAAGCGATATCCTTCCTCAAGACAACGTAAGTGTTAGCTTCCTCGACTACGGCGGAGTTGCCCTACAGGAACTCATAATATGGGATAGGTCGAAAAGTACCTCGATCTCTGCGGGACTTTTAAGCTTTGAAAACTTCCACAAAGTCATGATATACCCATGTGCAGAAACCCCAGGACACACTCCACTAATCAGGGATAAAAACATCCAAAATGATTTTTGGTCTTTTTCTAGAACAATTCAATCAAAGTGTCGCAGGACTTTTCGAACAACCTAATAATTACTGAAGCGGCTATTTCAATTAATTGTCACTGATTACTTGCTTGCTGATTACTTACTTACGGTTACCGATAACTCGGTGAACGATTGTCAATCATGCTTACAGCGACTTATGGTAAGCAAAGCTTTGTCCCAAAAGGAAGAAGGCTGCTAGGCAAAGATCTTTACCTGTCTGCGCCCTCACTCTTTAGGAAAATAGAGACTCTGACGTCGCTCTGATGGCACGACGTCAGAGTCTCTATTTAGTCACGTAAATCATCGCAGCCTGCAGCCAAATGCCTGATTTCCCTGTTTTCTTTTTGACCGCTTGATGTGTTTCTTTCTCTCTCTCGCGCTACTCAGCACCTCCAGTTTCTAGACAGCCGGTCGTTAGAATTTATTTTAGCCGCGATAACTAGAGAAAAAAACTAAACATAAAACAGACAAAAAAGAACACTACGACATTGAAGAAGCATAGCAGATATAGCAGAAGTACCCAGAGCCTTTACCTTGAAGGCGAATGGAACAGTTCTGTGTCTTCCACAGATTTAGATAGGCTGTATTACTATTACTTTGCCTGAAGTCGGTAAATTAGCGGTGTTACAGGGTTTCAGCCAAGCACGACTTCAATGTGATGCACCCATTTGCCTACGTCTTGGAAAAGCTACTGCGATACAGTGACGAGAACGCCAACGTTGATGAAAAAAGTGGTTTTCGACTTGGGCGGTCGTCGTCTCGCGAAGGCTGGATAGAACCGTCTACGACGAGTTCAAGGAAAAAGAACACCAGTTGTTCTATAATGTAAATATAATGTAAAAAGAGTGTCCAATGAATCTGAATTTTGCCAGCGTTTGACCACAGACAAAGAAAAATTGGTGAAGTTTTACTTAGGATTCAAACAAAAGGAAAACGTGTTGTCTTTGAGCAGAACGACGGAGGGCAGCTGCGACTGGTACTGCAGAAAATCCATCTTTTGACCTTTTACCATCCATTTAGGAAAAGAAATACGTATGGATAGGAATATATTGCTAAATACTAGTGGTTTGTTTCGTTTCTGACCTCATGTAAACTAGTCGATATCGCTGCAGTCACAGGGGGCGGTGTCAGGAGGGCTGGAATGAGCCGCTCGGGGCTCTGTTTTCGACCAATGGTGATCGCTTGATCGATTCAGGAAGAAAAGAACCAGTGGTAGAGAACTACGCGGGCGGACTCATTCCAAGAGAAAAAGATTTAAAAAATTGCAATCGTGTCGAAAAGAACACTCCAAAACACGGTCTATTTTGGTCTTTCCGTAGAACTATTTTCATTTCGTCCCTACCCTACCCCTGTGAATTATATGCTAGGGGTTACAATATAATTTCTGTTCATGAATATCTTCAGTGTTCCTTGTCGTGTAATCCAAATATTTATTCTCTTATTGACCTGATAGAGAATGACGTTAACTTAATATCCAAGGAAGTCTCAATAAGAACCTGAAATTATTACATTTAAGCAGCTTGGCGACCTGCTTTCCTAGTAGTTTCATATTTGGTCATTTCTACTTACCCAGTCAGCGAGCAAACAACGGGAGCAAGCACGGTAGCAGAGACAAATAAAAGTATGAGGACAAGAAGGGCAGTCAGGGCGATCAAGGAAACTCAAATAAGGAAAACTAAATAAATGATTAGAAAGATGATAAAAACAAGAGGGAACAGAAGACGAGCGATCACATCGACGCCGTTGTTGTTTCTGAAGTTGGAGCATTTCGTATTGTATGCAACCTCCAATGTCTGGAATAT